AGAGAGAGAGAGAGAGAGAGAGAGAGAGAGAGAGAGAGAGAGAGAGATAGAGAGAGAGAGACGAGCGATACAAGTTCGGTTCACCACGTACAAGTTTGGTTCACTACGCGACCAGCTTTGCCAGATCCCTTGCGTGCGAAGCCGATTGTGAAAACAATATGGTTGCATACTCTAGGCTCACCCCTCTTTCCACTTTCCTCAAACTCCTGCGAGAGAGGTTCGTTGACGTCACAAGGGGCGTCAGGGCCTCCGATAAGCTTCAGACCATCCACTCACGACAGTGGAGGAGTGCGCAAGCACTCAAAGTTGTCATGGACGACTTGGTAGCCGTCCCAGACCACGGGGTCACTGAGACCCAGTTGGTCCAATTATTTTATCGTGCCATGCCAGAGCCCCTGCTAGGGCATTTCTTTGATAAGACCCAACACGCGAATGTGACGTACGATGCGTTAAGTAGAGAAGTGGTCCTGTTCGAGGCAAAGTCCATGCCAATTTCCACTTTCTGGCATAAGGACTTAAATAAGGGAAAGAAGTGGAAAGGTCGTACCATCTCAGGCCAGGTCAGGGCCAAGGATCATCTGATCCTTACTTTAGATGAAGGCGGTACTGACGAAGTCCCCTACAGTCAGATAGAGTGGGGGCTAGAGGAGGAGGACAGTAGTGTAGGTCAAGGGAGGACGTACGCTGCTGTCGCGGCTGGAGAGAGTTCGCAAGGTAGAGGAGGCCAGGGCCAAGGGGGCCGGGCCATGGGTGGTCGAGGTCCGGGTGGACAGGGGGTTGGCGGTCAAAGGAACCGCCAAGCGGGAGGTAGGGGTCAAGGTCCCCCGCCGAATCGCTTAGGACCCAGTCGGTCGCCGCAGTGCCGAGGTGGAAGGTCACCTCAAAGGCAAGGAGGTTGGCACCCAGGTTGGCCACAGGGACGGCCTTGGGAAGATTTGGGCTTGGACCAGCGTGTATGGCAACAAGGTATGGAGCAGGGGCAATGCATCTATTGCGGTGACCCTGCCCATATTATTAAATATTGTCCAAAGTATAGGGAAGCCCGATTCGCTGCCCAGGGGTCAAAAGGCAGCCGCCAGTAGGGGTCGCAACTGCCCCTACTACAAGGCCATGTGGGGAAGTGTGC